CTTTTTCTCTCTCTCTGCCTAAATAAATCACTTTCTACAGAACTCTTTTGGGTCCAATATTTACTTAAAATGAGCTCACCGCACCTGGCAGGGTCCTCTCTCCCATTCTTGGGTGAGTGATGGACCAAGGGCTTGGAAGAACATATCCTATCGGGGAGCGACCTGAGCCCACCATCTGCAATTTGGTCACACCAGCACTATAGGAGGCTGAGGAAGGTGGATCACCTAAGGTCAAGAGTTCGAGACTAGCCTGGCCAACATAGTGAAACCCCGTCTTTACTAAAAATACAAAAATTAGCTTGTCATGGTGGCAGGTGCCTGTAATCCCAGATACTTGGGAGGCTGAGGCAGGAGAATTGCTTGAACCTGGGAGGTGAAGATTCCAGTGAGCTGAGATCCTGCCATTGCTCTCTAGCCTGGGCAACAGAGCAAGACCCCATCTCAAAAAAGAAACAAACAAAAATGAAGAACAACACCGAAAGTCATACACTTCCATGTTTATAGAGATAGAAAGTAGAATGGTGAGAATAGTGGCTGTCAGGATTGGGGGCTTGGGGAAAATGGGGAAGATGGAAAGTTCTCGTGATGGTTGTGCAAGTGTGAATGTACCTAATGCTATAGAACCATGTTTAAAAGTGGTTAAAATAGTGAATTTTGTATGTATGCTTAATCACCATAAGGTAATTATGAAAACATAAAAAGATGACAGCAACATGTTTTGTCTCAGCAAAGTCACCCACACTGAATAAATCCCACAAACAGGCTGATGTTTAAAGGATCCATGTTCAGGCCAGGTGTGGTAGCTCAAGCCTGTAATCCCAGCATTTTGGAAGGCCAAGGTGGATGGATCACCTGAGGTCAAGAGTTCGAGAACAGCCTGGCAAACATGGTGAAACTCTGTCTCTACTAAAAATACAAAAATTAGCTGGGCATGGTGGCACATGCCTGTAATCCCAGCTTCTTGGGAAGCTGAGGCAGGAGAACCACTTGAACCTGGGAGGTGGAGGTTGCAGTGAGCAGATTGTGCCACTGCACTCTAGACTGGGTGACAAATTGAGATTCCATCTCAAATGAAAAAAAAAAAAAGATCTGTGTTCAGAAGTGGAATTTTAGAAACATATAGGTAGAAATACAAAGTCATACTGTGAATATGTGCTCCTAGGAGAGATATTAAAGTGAGTTTTTGTAACATAGCAGAAATTCTGTGAAGTTTAACATGCCCTGTCCTACAAATTCAAGGACAGTATCTTAAAACAAAGTCCTGTTTGTGATCAGTCCTGGGATAGTGTCTTGTATTTCTTTGCAGGTGAATTTGCTCTCAAACTTCACCCTCCCAGCCTATCATTGCCATTCCTATCAACTGCTGCCTGAGAATGAGAATGTATGCATTCATGAAATGGTTCTAACTTAGGTGTTTTGGGGCTAGTGTGCTTTTCAGCTGGTAACACAATATTATGCCAAGTCCTACTTCATTAAACATTATGAAACTGAAGGAAAAGATGAGACAAATTCCATGAACCATTAAGTTAGACACAGGGGCTGCCCATGCTTTGTTCTTAGGAACAGCTACAGGTGTTTACATTTGTTAGAAAAACGCAGCGTGGTGGATTTCAATCAGCGGAAAATACTGGTGCACAGCCAATAACTTAGTTGGCACTTAAAGAGTGTTCAATTTTCCACTTCTTTAGGGCCTTACTGAAGCTATTTAGAAAAAGAGCATACATGGAAAGAGAGGAGGATCAGACTGGTAGATTTCCAGAGATGAGGAGTTGAAAGACATCGATAGACGTGAAACACCATCTCCTCAGGCTGATGCTACTTTTATTAGGCTGTTCTTGCATTGCTAAAAGAATACTTGAGCATGGGTAATTTATAAAGAAAAGAGTTCTGCAAACATGGTACCACATCTGCTTGGCTTCTGATGAGGGCCTCCAGAAGCTTACAATAGTGAAGGTGAAGGGGGCAGGCACCGCACATGATGAGAACAGGAGAAAAAGAGACAGAGAAGGGGGACGTCCAACTCTTTCAAGAAACCAGATCTCAGCCATGAACGGACTGAGTGAGAACTCTCTCGTCACCAAGGGGATGGCAAGAAACCGTTCATGAGGGATCCACCTCCAAAATCCCATCACCCCCTCCCACCAGGTCCCACCTCCAACACTGGGAATCACAGTTCAACATGAGATTTGCAGAGGACAAAACATCCAAACTCACATAATCAGTCATCATTCCTATACCATAGCCACCATAAATATTGCCTCTTATTCAACAATTCCAATTGGAAATATTTAGTACCAGTGCCCACAAAAGTTTCTTTGTACTTGTTTACAAGTTCTGATGTTTTGTTAGGAAAATATTGCCACACATTTTTCCCCAGCCAGGGCTCAGCCACAGTGCCACTGGGTGCAGTTTCTCTCATCTTCTGAGCGGTTAGCCTAAAGTGACCCTGTGTTTTCCTTTGCTCTTTCTCCTCTTCCTCTTCCACGCCAGTGCAAACAAACCTCCAGCCCTTACTTGAAGGTCCTCCATTCTTTGAACCAGGCAAGCACGGCACATTTCGTACCTAAAGATTCCAATCCACAGATGACTTATTTTCTTGACATTGCTGCATGACAGACAATAAAGGATCCAGACAAAACATTAGAGACAGATGAGAAAAGGACTAATTGTGTATGAAATTCCTTTTAAGCACCTTTAAAAAGAAATCATGTTTAAAAGGGAGATAAGCAAAGGAGGGAATTTTTGTGTTTCCATTTGGGTCATATAGAGCCATAACCAAACCATAAGCTGGAAATGTGGAGCCAGGCTCAACGTACTGAAAAGCAATAGTAATGAAAATAATTCTTACGTTTCTGGAGTTTCAGGGTTATAGAAAGAGTTCTGGAATTTTCTGTTTTGTTTTTTTTTTTGAGATGAAGTTTTGCTCTTGTTACCCAGGCTGGAGTGCAATGGCACAATCTCGGCTCACCGCAACCTCCACCTCCTGGGTTCAGGCAATTCTCCTGCCTCAGCCTCCTGAGTAGCTGGGATTACAGGCACGTGCCACCATGCCCAGCTAATTTTTTGTATCTTTAGTAGAGACGGGGTTTCACCATGTTGACCAGGATGGTCTCGATATTTTGACCTCGTGATCCACCCACCTCGGCCTCCCAAAGTGCTGGGATTACAGGCGTGAGCCACCGTGCCCGGCCTGAGTTCTAGAATTTTCACAAGTGCTTTTACATAGACCATCTCATTTTGCCGTGAAGATCCTATGCAGCCAGCAGAGCAGGTGTGGATGTCCCATCATAGAGCACCAAGGCCTGTGTCAGCTGCTAAGGATCTGATCCTAAGCTAAACAGGCATTTGCCCACCCTCACAGAGCTTACTATCCAGTACACAGGGAGTGGAGTAAGTGAGAGATAAATTAAGTTTTAAAAACATATCAAAACTATATGTGGGAGACAAAACACAGCAGACATCTGGCACAGATGGCTGCAGGGGTAACAACTGCCAGGAGCCAAAGAGGACCTCAGCCTGAGCAGGGGTGCCTGGCGGTGGAAGTGGTGGTTTTTGGGGTGGGCAGAGTCAACCTGCTGCGAAGGGGTGGGGTCGTGGAGCGGGAAGAGAACACATGGGAGCGGGGCCAGACTAGCAGTGGGTGTGGCTGTTGGTGAGGTGGGCGGAGTCAGCCTGGGAGGTGGGTTCCCGGAGCATTGGGGCGGGGCAGCCTGTGGCCTGGAGCGGTGGTTGGTGATCTTTGGAGTGGCAGTTGGGCCATTGGGCGGTTGGGCCATTGGGCAGTTGGACCGGGTGGCCTGGAACTTGGGAGCGGGGGTCAGTCATTTAAAAGCTGTGCCCAGCGCTGTTGGAAGCATCCAGTCCAGCCCCAGACTGAAGTGAGCATCTGCTGGGACAATATGGCTGGACCCACGTGGCAGGTGTGAGGCCAGGTCACTGCCAATGGAAGAGAAGGAGTAAAGGCCTCGGGCCTTGTGGGGTGTCACCTAGAGATGCGCCAGGAGGGCTGGGGAGCCCAGGTGTTTCCAGTGAAGCCAGTTGGCATCCTGGCCGCCCTCTCTGAGTGGAAGGCAGAGGGAAATAATTGTATTCACACAGGGTGGATAGGGCGGAGGCCATCAAGATGGAAGGAGCTGTGCTGTCAAGGAGCTCAGGTGGCCTGGTATAGCCCCCGGGAAGCTGGGCAGGGACCTGGGTGGCAACTCTGTGTGGGCACGCTGGGCCGGGACCTGAGTGGGGACCTGGGTGGGGACCTGGTGGGGATGCTGGTTGGGAACCCTGGGCAGGGACTCTAGGGGGCTCTGCTTGGGTGGAGTCTGGCCTTGACTTCTGAGTCTCGGCAATGCAGACGGGAGGTCACGAGCAGTGGGAGGAAGCCCAGGTCCCAGGTTTGTGATCTTCAGATGAGGGCAGCTCTGAGAAGGTTGGGGGCCCGGCTGTGGCCCCAGGAGGGACTCCCCAGCTCTTCCATGTGGAGGTGGGGGCTGGCGGACTTTCTTCTTGGATTTGAGAATGTCAGACACCTCTTTGATTTTCTTGCTTCAGAGAGTATGCCTGGACCCAACAGATGGAAATTCCTGGAAGGCCGATTTAGACTTCTTTAATAATTTTTTAATTATTATTTTACATTTTTGTGGGTGGTTAGGTGTATGCAGACAGCTCCAATACAATCTTCTGCTAATCTTTCAGCCATTATAAATGGTTTTTAGTTTTAGCAATCTGAAAAGCAAGTCTATGCGAAGCTCCCCAAAATTTGTTTACGTGTGAAATACTGAACATTTGTTTCTATCTGCCTTTCAATTCAATTCAAGAATTCTTTGTTTTGAATTTGTTCAATAAGTACCACTTAAGTACCAGTTTCATTTATGGTTTTATTAGTGCTTTTTCCTAAATAACACTATGATTTTAGCACTTTCCAATCTACAGTAAATTTACTTGCCTAATGCAGCTACCAAATATATATGTGTGTATGTATATTTATATTAAAGTCATTAAAATTCAGAATGACTATAAAAACAAATTAGAAATTGTAAATTCATAGATTATACAGCATTGGATTACAGTTGACAAACCTTAAAGCATGACACATTGTGAAGAGGTCCTGGGCATGACAAGTACACAGCTCTTGCCACATGGCCCTACCACCTTGCAGTGCTGGTGCAACCACACCCAAGCTGTCTCTCCCCTAGTAAGGCAGAGCCGTTGATACACTGGGAGCGTCAGGGACATATCAGACTGTTATATACTTTTCCAAAGTTTTCTCCCATTTGTTCTGCTTATCTTGTCTTGACCAGTAACAGTTTGCCAACTGGCACCAGACCACAGACCACACTTCGAATAGCATTGTCATAGATTCAAGATTGGCATCTGTCCAGAATGTAAACCTATGCCAAGTACCAAATGCTTGTCCAGCAGTAGATGAAGGGATATGCCCATTCTTGCTCTGGTCTGGCCTATCCCACTGATTGCTTGAGTCTTCTTTAAAAGCTCTGCCTCATCACACAGGTGTGGAAGCTGAGGTTCAGAGGGCAGTAGTGACCTACTGGAGGGGGATGCAGCTGGATTCAGAGGAAGGGTGAGATCCAGGTACTCCGAACCCCAGCCAGGAGCCCAAATGCACAGCCAGCCAGCCCAGCCCACACCTCTCTGAGGTTGACTTGGGGCTGTCCTTGTGTCAAAGAGGGCTACAAAGTCTGGTCATATGTTAACATCACACTCAAATTTTGTACTTCCTCAGGAAATGGCGTTTTCTGAGGATCAGCCCTGCCAAAGTAGATGCCATTGGATATAGCTTGTAAACAGCAAGGTAGGTGCTTAATATTCAAAACTTTTTTCTTCCTGGGGTCAGTAGCAGAGTAGTTGGAAAACATGGAACATCCCTAGCACCACCTCTAGTTATCTGCTATAATGGAGTGGAAAAAGGCATAACGTTAAGAGGCTGATAACGAAACACCCTTTAATTCCTTGACAGTACCAGTGAGGCATTCTTTCGCTGCTTTTGTCTTGGCAGCTCAGGCCCTGAATGGGTGAGGGTGGAAGGAGACTTCCAAGTTACTCCCCTGGGTAGAACAGGCTGTTCGGGGTTAATGTCGATGAACTCTTTCAATAATTCTATTGATGTCAGCAAAGGCAGAAAGTGGGACATACAGAAACTAGATGTATGTGACCTCGCCATGGGACTGCAGGCTCTTGGGTGGAAACAATTACATTTCTTTTTACTTGTTTAATACAGTGACTGGCAAGATGGTCGTTAAATCTATGCGGTCTCTTGACACTAGAGAATTTTTTTTCTAAAACAGATTGTATTTCCCCTTTCAGTGTGACAGACTGATCTGTAAGACCTGCCTTTCATCTGATAGCAACTGGGGTTTTTATTATTACAGTTGGTCACAAGACCTCTTGAGAAAAATCCTTTACAAATGAAAATCCAGTTCTTTCACATTTATACTTTCAAGAAACGGGAGTATGACCTGCCTTGAGATTTGGCAGCCTAATCGTGGGGGCTCTGCACTCAGACAGAGCAAGTCTCTTATTTTTCTTTTTAAAAAGTTTATAAATTTTTCTTCAGAAAATATAATAACAGAAAGGAAATCAATCTATATGGCTGTTCCCTTTCTGGAAACAGTAAGAACATGAACAGAACATGATAGCACCAGACATAAAACATTCATAAAAGAGATAAGATATCTAGTTCAGTGATTCTCAACCAAGGAATATTTTCCACCACCCCAGGGGATATTTGTTTGGAAACATTTTTAATTGTGACAATGGGTGTGTGTGTGTGACTACTGGCTTCTAGTGGGTGGAGGCCAGATATACTGTTAAATATCCCACCATGCACAGAACAGTCCCAACCACAAAGAATTGTCCAAAAAATCGTGTCAAGTTGAGAAACCATGATTTAGTTGCATCTTTAAGTTCTAAGGTAAAATGGTTGTGGGTTTATGTATATAGTCAGTCCCTGGTGTTTTACCCACTGGGGTTTAGCTGTTCTATATATAAATATTTACTAAAATCAATAAAATTTTCTTATTTCTGATTTAAAGTATACTTATAAGTTGTACAATTAAAAAAAATTAAAAGAACTCCCAGGTTGAATGTGTGATTTCTCCCACCTTTAATAGTGTTTAGAGAAGCCAGTATTAAATCTTGCAATCTTCAGGGCAACTCTTTGCTAAAGGAAGACTGCTTAGGGTAGCAAAAATATTTTTTAAGGCATCAGTACACCTGTGAAGTGAGTACAGTCTGAACATACACAAAACATTTTTGTTAAGTCTTTCAGGGTAGTGGCCTAGCTTTCATGCTGGACTTGGTGTTAGTCTCACATATTACATCCTCATGTCAGCCCCGCAGACACAGCAGAAACTTCCACCAACTTCATGTCTCCTGAAGAGCTTTTCCAGTAATGCCAAAGTCTGAGGATCTGTCTCTTTCACAAATTATTTTACTTTATCCACAAACCAATATGGAGGTCCTTCCTGGAAGCTTGTTTTCAGTACACCGAGGTCACATTCAGTTGTTGAATGGGACCTCCAATTCTGCTCTGCATGTGGATTTGACTGACTTCATATAATTGTCCTTGATAGAAATCAGTGATAGTTATTCAGAACTAGGGGTGAGCTCAGTGTAGCTGACATAGGCTGAAATAATTCCTATAGTTAAGAGAGTCTGGGGATTTCCCCAGTCCGGGCCTGGAGTGTTAGTTTGCTGAATTAAGGGTTTTCTGAAAGCCTCTGCCCACCTGGCATGTCTTTCCTCATAAGACAATATTTCTGCAGGTGGTGCATATACCTCTATGTGGGATCCTTAGGTGAGAGAGGAATGGCATATGATGGAGGATTCTGAGAGCATCAGTTGGCTCTTTTCTCTGGTATGTCTGCCTCTGTTGCTTGGTTTTTACCATTTTTATCTTGAGGAGTTATTAATCAGTAAAATGTTTTTCCCCACCAGAGGAGGCAGCAACCACGTCTTCTCTATGGAGGTATGCAAGAGCTGTCCAGCTGCATCACTGTCTGGGACAAATACCCGGGTTCGCTATCTTGCACCAAGAAGATTAAAGATACAGACACATGTGAGTGGGTTAAGGAGTGTAAAGTTTAATAGGCAGAAGAAAGAGAGGAGAGCAGCTTTCTCTCTCTTTTGAGAGAGAATCAACCAAAAGGGAAAAAGATGTCCTGATGTGGACTGCAGCAGATTTTATAGGCAGGCTTGATGAGGTGGTGTCTGATTTACCCAGGGACAACAGATTGATTTGATCAGGTGTGACATTTATATAGTGTGCTGGGAAGGCTGGTCAATCCACCCTAATCTTATTATGCAAATGAGTTTTCTGCTTGGCCAGCGCCATCTTGTCTGCTCCTTACTGTAGACGTGGCTGGCAACGAGAAGATGGAGCCATCGTTTTGAACATGTCTGTTCCCAGGTAACTCTTTTCTATTGGCACAACTGCCAGCATTCCCCTGTGCAAGCTTCCAGCTCGCTTGTCTATGTCTGCTGCTCGATTTTACAGGCTGCTCTTTGTTAGAAAATAAAATTATTTGGGGCTGCTTTTCATTAAAAGGAAGACCTTACCAAGGACTTCCTTATTCTCGCTATCTGCCTAAATAATTTCTTTTTAACTCCTATATCACAGCTTGGAAGGCACAATACACACAGGTCTTTATGGTCCACCAGAGCTGTGCAGCCACGGGCCAGCCAGGAGGTGGACAGCTGCTGGGCACTCTTCTGAAACAGGTGAGCACTGGAGTCCCCTGTTTGTTGGCAAAGAAACAGAATGCAGACATCACTGCTGTCATGGTCTCAGCAATGTCATCCCTGATCAAGTGGAAGGCCAAGGTCTCTTTCTTGCAACTACATAAAGAGAGACAGAAGAGAACACAAAACAGGAAGACATTTTTTCCCTTTTCTCTCATTTTGGGCCTCTTTTAAATACAAATGCTGATTTTTGTCAGGGAATCATTTTTAAGAAACCTCTCCTTCGTGGGCAGGAAAGTTGTGCAGGTGGTTTAACCCAGCCTTATTTCCTGACCAGAGTTACCAGGCGAGTTTTTTACAGTGCCTGCGTTGAATGCTGAGCCACCTGAGACGAAGATTGTGCTTTTTCTCTACTTATTGTAATGGGAACATTATTTTCTGATGGTTGAAAGACATTTGTCAAGTGATACTACCTACTTAATTCGGAGACTATCTGAAGAATCATAGCAATATTCAAAAGCTCCTCCCCAGTTTCCAAATGTAATGTAAACTTTTATTTTTTTACAGGCAGGATCTCACTCTGTTGCCGAGGCTGGATTACAGCTCACTGCAACCTTGAATTCTCCCTCAAGCAATCCTCCCTGCTCTGCCTTTCAAAGCACTAGCATTACAGGCCAAAGCACCACTCCCAGACACTATAATATAAACTGTCTTCTTTAATATTTCCAGTAGTTGCAGAGTAGATCAGATAAGGGTTCTTCTTGACCCTTGCTTCAAGTTTCATTCTCTCTTAAATGATTGAAGGTTGACTTCCATGGTCCCCTAAAGAATGTGGAAAGTGTGTCTTCAGATCCATGTAGTGTTCATGGAATCCCCAGAGAAGGCTGATGTAAAACGCTTTTTTTCTCCCAAATGTCTCAAAAAGTTGTATTTCCTGGGTCCTAGGGATCTGCAAGCCTCTAAAGGCATTTCCATTGTCACTACCATCAGGTGTGAACTGTAATCTGGCACAGTCCCAAGAACTGTCATAATACATGCTGAAGAAATATTGTGATGGTAACTTGCTGTTACCAACTGTGAAGTCATTAGCTAGAGGAGTCTGAAATCTGAAACACTGTGGAAAGAACAGAAAGATCCTGTCTGTTTCCCACAATTGTTCTGCTGAAAGTTGTCAAAATTATTTTCTTTTGAGACAGGGTCTCACTCCGTTGCCCAGGCTGGAGTACAGTGTTGCTACCTCAGGTCACTGCTGCCTCCATTGCCTGAGGATTGCCCAAGCAATACTCCCACCTGTCACGTGAGTAGCTGGAGCCACAGGCCTGCACCACTATGCCCAGCTAATTACTTTTATTTGTAGAGACAGAGTCTCTCTATCTTACATAGGCTGGTCTCGAACTCCTGGGCTCAAGTAATCCTCCTGCCATGGCTTCTCAAAGTGCTTGGGATTACAGATATGAGCTACCATGCCTGGCCTCACAGGAGACATTTTTAATGTCCTTCTTGACAGTCTACAAATTTTTTTTTTTGAGACAGGGTCTTGCTCTGTCACCCAGGCTGGAGTGCAGTGATGCCATCATAGCTCACTATAGCCTAGAACTCCTGAGCCCAAGGATCTTCCCACCTCAGCCTCCTGAGTAGCTGGGACTACAGGCACTAGCCACAAGGCCCAGATAATTTATTAATTTTTTTTTGTAGAGTCAGGGTCTCACTATGTTGCCCAGGCTGGTCTCAAACTCCTGGCCTCAAATAATCTTCTGCCTCAGCCTCCCTAAGTGCTGGCATTATGGGTATCAGCTGTCACGCCTGGCTACAAATCTTAATGTTTTCCCTTTCTGTTGTTCTTTTCTCAGGTAATCAAAGTGGGTAGAGAATGATCTTTTCCCTAGGCTCCAGTGTGTAAGAATTAAAGAAAAAGGAAAGAAACACAAACAGTGGCTTGATGGTCAAGGATATTTTAGAGAAAACAAACCTGAGAGGGACTTCTGGCTGAGTTAGGTCAGAGGCACGCTCTCTTACCATTTTTAAGGATTCAGGGTGGGAGTGTTTATCAGAGGCTTGAACTGCTTCTGTGTCTCTTTAGTTGTGCTTATCTGGGAGGGAGAGTTGTGTGTCTGTTCCCATACATCTTTCTGCAGTGCAGGCATATCCCCCGAGTCTGCTTTTAGCTTTCCTATTTTAGTGCACCTGAAGGGAAAGGAATGTGCTTATTAAGGCCCACTGTTTTACTGGGGCCCATTGTGTGAAGGTGAAGTTTGGCAGTTACCCAAGAGACTTTTCCCCCATCTCCCTCTGTGCCCCAGCTGTGTTATCTGTATTTTACTGTCTGCTCTTTTTGGCTGCTTGTAGTTAGAAAAGAAGTGATTTCCTTGAAACGCATGAGGCTAGAAGAGGAGATATAACTTAAAGTGGCAGTGTTTGTCCAGGATGATGGTGCTCTTACTTTGTCACAGTGGGCATGGGGATTCAGGCCACTGCCAGTGAATTTCAGAGCCCACACACACAGGCCAGAACTAAATTGTGAGTGTTTCAAAAATAAAACAAACAAACAAAAAAGCTTTATTGAAGTATAATTGATATGCAATAAACTTGAATATTTAAAATGTACAATTTGATGAATTTGAGCATTTGTATACACCCCTGCAACCATCACCACATTCAAGAGAATGAATATACCCATCACTCCTAAAAGTTTCCTCACATCCTTTGCAGCCCCTCCCTCCCACCCCTCAAACACTTAATGCACTTTTTCCCAAAAGGCAAAAAGTTAGAAAGCTCCCCTACACATTTATCAAGGCTGGTATAATCTGACTCCCAAACAAGGTAAGGAAATTATAAGACAATTAGAGAATATTAACTATTGTATTCAGTTGGAAAAGTCTGCAGTAAAATACCTGTAACAGTTAAACTCACCAGTTATGCAAAAACATATGGTTAACTACAATTGCACCCTATAGACTCCCCTTTCTATTATGTGTTATATTTCACTAAATCTTTGTTCACCTTGCCAGTTTTTCTTCTAATTTCTCTGCAGCTTTAACTTTGGTTGATGCTATAATTTGAATATTTGACCTTCCAAACCTCATGTTGAAATGCAGTCCCCAGTGTTGGAGGTGAGGCCTGGTGGGAGGTGTTTGGGTCATGAGGGTGGATCACTCATGATTGGTGCTGTCCTCATGGCAATGAGTGGGTTCTCACACGATCAGTTCCCTCCAGAGCCGGTCATTAAATAAAGAGCCTGGCATCTCCCATCCCCTTTGCTTCCTGTCTCATCATGTAATGTCTGCACACACTCTTCTGCTGTGAGTGGAAACTCCTTGAAGCCCTCACCAGAAGTAGGTGCTGTTGCCAGGCTTCTTGTACAGCCTGCAGAACCATGAGCCACATAAACCCATTTTTGTAAATTATCCAGCCTCAGGTATTCCTTTATAGCAACACATATGGACTAAGACAGTGATATTCTCAGTTTACCTTGACATGGCATGCAGCCTGTCTGTTTCCTCATAAGCTCCCAGAGTAGAAATGTGTTCTGGACAAAGGATGCCAGTGAGTGGCAGTCCCCTACAGTTCAGAAGGAACAGAACAATGAAACCAGTTGTATTCAATTACAATTTTCTCAGGCCTTTCTAAAATTTGTCAACCCCTTGAATAAGTCCATAGATGAAGTACCACAGGTGGGCAAGAAGTGACTTTATTTTTTGTGTCAAAGACGAAGACTTCTTGGACCTGGAGAATATGGTCCAACAAATAGGCCCTCTACAATAAGGCATTCATTTCTCATTTGGTCTTTCCATGCAGCTGTCTCTAACATGATTCATGGTATTTAGGAGTGATACATGATTAAATGTTGAACATTCGTCAACAAATATTTTTCAGTTGTTACCTTTTACCTGGACTGTATATTGAGGTGAAAATGGAGACAGTACTTTATTAAAATTGGGAGGATCAAGAGGCATATGTGCTTTTAACTTTAAAAAACCATAAGATGAAGGGCTAACTTGTAAAGTAGGTTGGAGTGAATGATTTGGGCATCTGTTAAGATGATATGTGTAACCAGGCTCTGCAGGATGTGTAGGGGCAGCCTTTGTGGTAGAATAGCCCAGTTCACAAAGTGCTGTCTGTGGGGATGAGACTGTGGGGATGAGACTGTGGGGATGGGTGGGTGGTAGAGACATGGCAGATCTAACCACCTGACTGAAGCAGAGGGACCCTGCTGTGCAGCAGTGGGAGGGGAAAACGGACAAAGTAGGTTGGGCCTGATCATGGAGATCCCAGGGGAATTACCCCATGACCATTTCCAGCTGGTCCCTTCTCCAAGCGACCCACTTTTCCAAAGTCTATCTCCACAGATTAGCTTTTCCTGCTGTTGAATTTCATGTGAGTGGAATCATGAATTGTTAAAGAAAAATTATTCATGACACTCATTAAAGATGATAAGGCAGACTTTATCATGGGGACCCTCCGTAATGAGGTTGTACAGTAGGGGAGAAAGATTTGGTTCCACTCTGAATACACCAGGGCAAGTGGGAGTTTCTAGCCAAAAAGCAGGGTGGGGCTCAGTGGATGGAAAATTCCTAAGAGGAAACATCAAGCCTAGGGAGGTTTTTATTAGAGGAGCTCAACAGTATTTTTGCTCAAGACAGGCCAGGATGGGAAGATATGAAGTGTGGGGGGCATGACATTTGATCAGGTAACAATGGTGGGGGATTTTCCATAAACTGACCCAACAGGATTCTAACTCAACTAAACAAACCCAGGACAGTCTAAATGTTATGCATTGAGGGCTTAGAGGAGCCTCACTGGAGTTAGGCCAAAGAGAGCCTCTGTCGGGGACTCATGTTTGACTTTTCGTATGCAAGATGTTTTTGAAATTCATATTGTGGCATGTGCACTACATTTTTTAAATTGTTGAGTAGTACTCCATTATGGAAATTAACCAAATGTATTTAACCCTTTTCCAGTTTTGTCTGGTATGAATGAAACTTCATAAGTTCACAAGTATTTGTATGTGTTTTAATTTCTCTTCGGTAATATCTTAGGAGTTGATTTCAAGGTTACAAGGTAGGTACATGGTTATCTTTATACTATATTGCCAGTTTTCCAAATTGGTTCTACTGTTTTAGGGTCCCAACAGCAATGTATGAGAATGCCAGTTGTTGCATGTCTTTGCCAACCTTTGGTATGATGTCTATTTTTAATGTTGAGTATTCTTGTGGTTGCATAGTGCTATCACATGGTGGTTTAATACGCATTTCTCTGGTGACTGATGACGTTGAGTAACTTTTTATGCATGTTGACTATTTCTACATTTTTGTGAAGTGTTCAAGTCTTTTGCCCATTAAAAAATTATCTTTTAAAATCACTGATTTGTTAGAGTTCTTTACATATTCTGTGAATTACACACACACAAACATCACACACAAGCATACACATTCTTCTCCTAGCTTGCCTTTACCAGTTTATTTGCTGAGCAGAAATATTACATGGTATGGATGCAATTTACCAATTATTTCCTTCTAGGCTAAGGTTGTTGTGGTCCTGTTGTAGTGACACAGCGAGAACAGTGTGGTAGAGAAGCCTGTTTCCGATGTCTAGGGAACTGGAACTAAGGACTATAGCTAAGTCCACTGATATGCAGTGATAAAAATATTATGCAAACGCAGAGCAACTACCGATAATGAGGTATGTGTGTTATGTAACATAAAAGGTCCTAAATAAGATGTCATTGCTTGTAAGAGTGTGCAAGTGATTATTAGTTGGCAAAATTCAGGTGAATATTTCAAGGGTGGCTCCTTCCTCCCATGTATCCCTTTTCAACTTCTGTCTGGTCAGAGTAGGTGTAATTTACTGCTGGGAAGAAGAGAGATATGTCTAATAGGGCCTTTAGCTTCCCTGGAGCTCCTGATTCTTTTCCATCTGCTTGTGTACTTTGCTGTCAAACAACATTTTGTAGATGTCTTTGGAACTGAGATAATGCCTTGCGTCACTTCATACCCAGCAAGCAGGGCTCCAAGTTGATCTAGTGGAAGAGATTGCAACCCAGCTCAGAGTCAGAACCTTCCAGGATGGCCAGAAGGGGACAGCAGGTGTTTCCTGGTCAAGAACACAGGAGTAGACAAACCTCTAAATGTGCCCTTGAAGCCATCAATCAAATACCAATGACAACTTTCTTAGCTATGGAACAGAAAAAATACCAGTATCAGGGCAGGAAATAGTACCATAGGATGAGGACTTTCATTACTCTTCCAAACGTAGCATCTGGATCCACCGAGAAAGAGAAAGGATAGAGAAGTGCATGGGTTTAGCTATCGTTCAGGGTCATTCTCTGCCAGAAGTCAGGAGCTATATCCAGGGAAGTAAGTTATCCCTATGGGATGAAGCTACGTTTGTGTGGAGTTAGTGAACAAAAGTCGTCTGTAAAAGAATTTGGAGGAAAGAGGCTTTATTCCAGTGAAACAGTTTTCAAACCTGGGAGTTGCAGACTTGAAGGTACATTCCAAAGTATAAAAAGAGGGCTCTGGTACTAAACAAGTTTGACTCTTTAGTCAAACTTGCTTAGTTCTGATTGGTCAATACAGCTGAACTCTGGCTGATTGGTTGATACAGCTGAGCTCTCCTTGGCTGGTTCGGGCGAGAGCAGCACATGGCAAAGTAGAGCAGAAGTGCGGGTGGTCTGGGGACCCAGGGTGACCCTAGTCAGCTGCAAATGACCACATGGCTCTATTTAAAATGTAGGCCCAGTTGGCCATCCGGATGCCTCTTGGAGTGGCTCTTTCGGATTCACCTTTGTTTACAGGTGCCAGAGAAGAAGAGACTCAAAAAGATACGGCCTGACCAGCTCAATTTGACTGAACGCTGACGAAGACCGCTGGGCCCTTTGTGCTCCAAAGGCGGAGCACAAATTGGTATTTGATGGCTTCAAGGGCACACAGGACCTAGGGTAGGGGGTGAAGACTACGGGGCCTGTCCCTCTGGTTCCAAGCCACACAGGGAGGCAAAGCAAAGGTGGATCACGCGGGCTGACCGAGCTGCAGGGTCCGAGAGCGGGGAAGCCCAGGCCAGCCTGGCGCGGGTTTGCGGGCACCCGACCACCAGCGCGGCCCCAGGGTGCAGGACAAAGCTTTAAAGGGTCCCCATAGCCACCCACCAGTCCCCAGGTATAAGACTGTCTGAAGACCCTCTGCCCCCTCTGCCCGCTGGCGAGTTCCAAGTCAACTAAGGCAACAGCAAGGACGACACAACACAGAGCCACAACCACACACCACCACCACCACAACCTCCCTCTGAGCAGCTCAGGCTGCTTTAACCAACCTATTTGGAATCCAATCAAAATCCTCTGCTGCCGTCTAGCGACAAATACCGGGAAAGCAGAATTAATAAGATAAGCTGTTTAAGAGGCAAAAAGTGATAGTCTAAATGTTTAAAAGTGCAAACCAGAAGAACCTGGGCATCCTGTGTTCGTGACTGTGCCTTGAACTGGGTCACTCCACACTTGCTAAGGGGCTAGTACGGGATGTGACAAGAAGAAAGTCGTCAAGGGGACTCCCAAGATTTTTGACTTGAGAAACTGAAAAGATAAAGCCAATGTTAATTGAGATTTGTTTTTT